GGTCCATTCATCACTGTTAGCGTTCTTTTAAAGTTGATAACGCACTCACTTAACGCATTTCCAATGATGACTTAAAGTATTATTTTCTCAAGGGTAATTTTACATATTGACTTCAGTTTTGGTGGGTGGATAGGAGGAGAGGCGAAACAATGTTTTGTTTTGCAAAAAAGCGATTGTTGCGAAATAGCAAGCTTGAGCTGTTTGGCAGTTGGCATTAAGTACAAATTCATTTTTTACGCCAATGGTGAGGATGTAAGGAAGCAGAAGTTGGCCTTCCTCAGACACTTAGAATTGATCGGATACGGCAAAAGGGTTAATGATTCCGTGATTGTTCATGCTGGTCTTCTGGAAAACGCTGCTGTCTTACTATGTGCTTACGCACAACTTCAGGTGGTGAGTGAATGTCACATAAATGCGTATTTTTATCGAAGATAGAAGCACACTCCTTTGATGGATTGCCTGAAAATTTTTCAAGAGCTGTCGGTTATAAGACCAGGCGGCGCTAGTGGTATTTGTAGCCAAAGTTTAAGTTTGTTTTCATATGGAAGATTGTACTGAAATAATCAAAAGTAACGCTATTTGTGTGGCATTCTTCGCACAGATATGTACGACTACCAATTTCAAGCGCACTTTTGTGAGCCTGTGTACGAGGCGCATCACTTGCACTGTACCAAACAGGATGGCGAGGTGGCCTTCACGATGCGTCAAATAGGCACATGGCTGACACTCTCTAGTGTCTTCTGCCGGTGTTCCCAGCCCGCCGAGGTTACTTCTATCAGCTATACACACGGCATCAAGCCCACCGATATTGCATTCAGAGGCGTCTTCTACGAAATGACCTGCGCTCCCTCGGTAGGCTGCATCGTTGACTAATGAAGTTCGAATACTAATTTCTCGACAATTTGGAGTCGAATGAGGTGCACCAATTAAGTTTCTCCTTAGCCTTAGTTTGAATTTTCATATGTGCAGGTTCTACAAGCGTTGGGAAAATGTATATAAGAAATTCATCATCATCGATATCCAAGTCCATTTATTATTGACATTTCCACCTTTTCAGCGCGAGTGCAGGACTGATGAAAGCTGTTTCATAGAGACACCCAGCAGTGACGGCCTCCTCTATGGTGGCAAAGTGATGTGTATGTGTCCAAAGAAGACTTTCTGCCCCATCTACTTTATTGGGAAGAAGCGGGTCCCCTTCAAGGACAGCCAACAGAGGATAACCCATTACGGATTAAAGTGCAAACAACGGTCTTATTAAGCAGTCAAAGTGACTCTGTAGACAATTTTATTCACATTTATTAACTTACGGAGCCTTGTTTCAATGTTCCTTTCCCCATCACCCGATTTTGGGTCGATTTCCTCTACACTCTCTACTGTGAATACAAATATTGTTGATCCACCATATTTAATAGGTTCATCTGTATAGCAGGGGTTGTGAAAAAGAACCCATTTACATCCACCTTTAATCATCGAAACTCGGGATCGCTAACTTAATCACCTCGCCACTGTCATTGAACCATAATCTCTTCAAATATGTCCAGAAATCAAATCAAGGGAAAGTAGTTAAGTTTGAACGCAAGACACTTTCTGTTCTAATGCGATGTGTCACCTAACTGTCACTTTTATTTGTTAAGTACGCTTTCAAAATGCTCAAAAGACATGGATGCCTTTTGAATTTGTTGATACTAGTGCCTGCATGGAATATGCTAGCTATGGGTTTGTGTACAAAACGCATCCACCTTTTTTTACCGCATAATCTATGGCTATATTAAGCTAAAGTAACCAAAATTAAAACTGCTAACTGCTACCGTAACCACACTGATAACACACGATTTTGTCGTTTTGGCTGTTGGCTGATGCTCTGACTTTTACATCGTTGCCTACTCAGCCAACATTTCTGACGCGATTGCACCCACCTTTGCGCCAGGAAACAACTTAATCGGCTGACAGGTCTCAAGAAATGCGCCGATGCTACTACCGCCAGCTCAGTTACAGCACAAAATTAGTTGTGAGGTAAACCTTACGTGGAGCAGGTAAAG